AACCTTAAACACAGCTCCTGTTCCATCAGCAAAACATTTTCTTTCTTTCTTTCTCTACCTTCCCTCTCTCCTTCTCTCCCTCCTTCTCTTGGCTTTCAATGATACAACTTGTTATTTTCTTATTTAAAATCAAACTTAAATTTTGAATTCATCTCCACCAAGTCTTCAGACAATACCAAATATGGCTTTGGATCCTGGCAATAAAGATATTATCACCGTGCAACAGGAACAATCTGAAACCTAGCAGAATAATAGAAATATTATCGACTAATTATTTATAAATATTATCCACTAATCAGCAAGACAGCCAATAACCTTCAGAGTGGAACTGAACCTCTGCCTGATGATACTCTTAGCCCAGAATCTACCTTAATGCCAAGCTTTGCCATTAAAGTGGCAAACAACAAAGCCTTACATTTTATATTTAATTACATTTTAGTATTAGCACATGTAACCTTCCCTTAAGAAAGATACAACTAAATATAGGAATTTAGTCATTAAAATCAGGGGTCTCCAACTACAAGGCTTAGTGAACCAGGCTGTGGAAGTGGCAAGTGATCACATGGGCACACACATCCCCACTTGTGCAAGTAGCAGCAAGCACACATGTGTTTGCCCATCACTCCATAGAACCATTCTCTCCCCCCGTCTGGTTGGCACAAAACGGGAAAGGTTGGCGCCCTCTGATTAAAGTGATTTTTAAAATATTTTTAAAAAGTTCCTGCAGTGGTTCCTGTTCACTTAATAAGTTCACTCATTCCTTCTCAATTATTTCAAAGTAACTGTTTTTAAATGCTTGATTTTAGCTAGATTACACTGGCCAACTTGCAACTGGTGAAATACTGCCTAGTGTAGCAACATACTTGCAAGTGTATTCAATGAGACAAGGACAGCTATTTAAGGATGTAATCTTGAAAACACCTACCAGGAAGTAAGTTCCATTGAGCCTAATGGATATACTTCTGCATAAAAACATCCAGGATAGGACTAAGAAAACTGTGCTTGATGCCCTTGATGGAACAAAATATAAATTCAATTCCATCACAGTTTCCATTTTTAACAAACAAAATCCTGCCAGGAGTAATATGCCACAAGCAAATGGAATAAGAAACAAAGATTGACAGGCGTAAAAAGAAAACTAATCAAAAGAGAGAATTTATATAAAGATCAGAATATTATTCAGGAAGGAAAATGGACTGAAATTAGGAAAAGAAAGAAATTCCACTTGTTATTTGATACATTAACATGTTCATTATTTGACAGAGTATGCTATCAGTAACAAAGATAAAACTCCTATCTACAGTGGAGGGTTTCCTCTGCTTCAGTTATAAAAAACCCCTAAGTTATCAGGAATTAGACAAAATGAGATGTTTGTTACAGAAGCAAACTTCAAACATCTTTATTTTAATTATTACAGCTGCACGCTTTTAGGATATAAACATTAAGGTCTATTTAATAAATAAAACAAAATGTTTAAAGGCCCCATCAAGTCTTGTGAGCTAATTACAAGATTTAATTGCTCTCCTTTCTTCTTATATCTTAAAAAAAACTCATTCAGAATACAAAGCTTTACTTGTAAAACTATTGTGAAATTTTTACCATCTGTGGTTACCGGTTGTGGTTACCAGTTGTGTTTCTGCACAACTACAGTCTCTTGACTGTATCTTTGCAGGGGAGATCTACCCTGGCATATAAACATGCCTTATATTGCACTGTTTGGCTTCCATAATAGAACAGTGTAATCGGGCTGACTGAGGAGGTCAATAAAACACAGGAAAAGATTAGTATACACTTGAGACCAAAGATTTTTCCTTAGGGGCTGATGGACAAACACTTAGAAAAAAGTCACAGAACTTTTGTTTTTGTACATGATAACTGCAGCAAGATTATTGCATACGCAAAGATGGAAAGATTCAGCATTACCCATAATGGTCAGGGAAGATGGTGGAACTTGCTGAGATGACTAAATTGATTTCTTTGGTCAGAGAAATGACAATATCACTGGGTTTTTTTTGCCGGCTGGAAACTACGTATGTACTTTTTTGTGAAAAAATGAATTTATGATATATGATTTTGATGATTAGATCAAAATAGGTTATAAAAAAGGATAGGTTATAAAAAAGAAAATCATTTTGTTGTAACCACAGAATAAGAGGTAAATTAATAACATTACTTATATCTGATGTAAAGAAGATCAGAAGCTATTTCTTTCTGTTTATGTTTTTCCTTTCTTGCATCTTAATTTCCACTTTGAATTTTTTTTACCCTCCCCTTATTTTATACTAATTTGGGTTAGTTTTCATTTTCATTTTTAAAAAATGTTTACCAAATATTAAATCATTCCTTTTATATACATATACTTAAGTTTAAATTACTATTAATACTATGCCACAAATAAGCAGATATAAAACCTCAGTTTGGCCAAACTCCAATATTATCTTGCAGGTAGTCTCCATTTAGCAACCATACTTTTGACTGGTAATTGGGTCATTAAGCAAAGCTGTTGCTATGTGAAACAATGACTCAGCCCATAGTCTTATATAGCTTTCCTTTGCTTTACAGATCTGCAAAATCATAAATAGGATGATGGGTCATAACTTATAAACCCATTCCTTTTTTATGTAACTGTGAACTGCTGCTAAATGAGGTAGTCACTAAATGAGAACAACATGCTGGGAACTGGGGGCAAATTTAGAATGAGGTGGCTGGATGGAGTCACTGAAGCTGTAGGTGTGAGCTTAAATGGACTCCAGAGGATGGTAGAGGACAGGAAATCCTGGAGGAATGGGGTCATGATGGGTCGGACGTGACTTTGCAGCTAACAACAACAATCTGCCAGATATCTGGAATATTCTTCAGAATAGCTCAGTGAATAGTCCTATGGGCTTGTCTCTCCCGAGAAAGGAATGGATCATCTGCAAAGGGGCTACTAGATGGCTATTTCATGGAAATTGTAAGAATGGATTTCACTGCTTTTGTTCCCAACATGTTATCCCTTACATGAGCACTTACAATTTATACTTTGTCTCTCTCCAATGACACTCTTCTCTTTTGACATTTCATCTCCCAAAGTTCTTAAGAAAAACGAAAGGTACCCAGGAATTAACAAACAGTGAGAAGCCTCGTAAAACACTGACTAAAGCCACCAAGTTGTCATTTCTCATATTCTCAAGGAATATGGGATGCAAAACAGGAGTATCACGTTCATAATGAAGAATGCGATATTTAGGATAACCTCAATTCCAAGTTATATAACTCCATAGTTACTAGTTTTACCTAGTACTTTGAATTGTGTCTAGGGACAACATGGGAATCAGTTAAATTGATTGGACAAAGAATTCACTTACTTCTATGAGCAATCCTAGTCAGGTGTGTGGTCATAACCTTGTGGATTTCCAAGTGGTTTTGAAGGCCATTACATATAGAAAGGATTCCTAAATTTAACATCATTAAGTACACGTGCATAGTGATCTTTGTTTAAGTATGTACTCCTGACTGCTCCTGAAATCTGGATATTCAGGTTTGGAGCTAAGCCAAAAGACTATAAATCTGAGTGTAATTCCGTCTAGCAAAGGTTGATTCTAATTCTCTGATAAGTGTTTTGAGCAACAAGTTTACCTTGTTTAGATTGGACTTCATCTCCTACTTGTAAGACACCAGTGTCAAGATCAATTTCCTTAGATTTTGATGGAAAGGGAAAAGGAATCCTCTATATATTTATGGTGTCAAACTCAAATTTCTGGAAAATGTAACTGAGTGATTTTTAGTATGTATTACATTCAGATTGTCCTCGTGTTATGGCTATTCATTCAATGACCATAATTATAGCAGCTCTGAACAAATAATACTTATGGCATTCCCTAAAGTTACAGTTGGCACTCATGTCTACAGGAACATTTCAATTCCCCACAGCTGGGCCATCCCTATGTGATAGGCCTTCTTCCGAAGGCTGTTCACCTTTTTCTCCAAATAGGCCCATTCTTGCAATGATTTCAAGTGTTCATATGCAAAATCCTGTGAGGTTTTTTTCATTTTCTATAAAAGTCTATGATAGTTCAGGTAAGGACAAAAATCTAATTACCAAATCTCATTGGTAAATTCTCTGTCGTCCCATTCTTTTTTTTTAATATTATTTTTTATTTTTTATTTTCAAAACAAAGATCCTTCTTTACATGTTGTAGAAAGTGTATCAGTTGGTTACAAAAAGACTTTCATGCATCTCTTCCACA